AGCAGGAGCTTGTAGGAGTTGTTTAAAAAGAAATGTCAGCATCCACCCTTTAAGACAGAAAAGAAATTAGGAGTGCTGCTTCATCAAAGCCAGTCCCTGTCTCATTTTCAAATTTTTAAGTACTTTACAGTTAGCAAGGAAGCTTCAATATGTACTGCTATTTGGTGCAATTCTCACTCTAGGTAAGGTCGTGTATGCTCCAAAACACAAAGACTAGGAGCCTGTTTGCAAGTTTAATCCTTTCTTTCCCACTCATTTCTGTCTTTATGAAGTCTCTGACATCTCATCACTTGTTTGCAGAGCTGCAGATCAGCAGTTGCACAGAAAATAGATGCCAGGAAATTTCCAACACTGTTTCCTGATAAGTGACACAATCTCCATTTACATTTAAAAGGCATTTGTGCAGCCCGACTGAGTATGAGATGTTGGTTACTACATTGCATTAGTATATCACAAGCAAAGACAACCCCTGCTTTAGTTCATGGGGTAAAATCCTGTTTGCATGAAAGAGCTCTTAGTTTTAGGCCTGTCTTACTTTTGGGCTCCTGATCTTATGACTGTGGAGGGCACAATCTGTGGGCAGTTTCCAATATCAGTAAGAGACATAGCTAGTATCCAAAGTTCAGTATCGTAACGTGAACACAGTGTTCAAGTGAAAAGCATCTTGTCGTGGTGTCCCAGTGAATCCCAGGGGAGGGGGAAACTGCACACCCAGCTCAACAGCAGACCATATCTTGGCAGTAGCTATTGAAATGCGAGGAGAAGGGACTGTAGATTATAGGATTGATGTGAGAACTCAAGATAAAGGTCTTTAGCAAGATGTGGATGCCTTGGAAGATTTTGTGCACCAGGTCTGCCCAGTGGACACCAGAACTCCACTGCAACCTCGCTGACTGAAACACCACCCAGCATGTCATGAACACCACTACCATGACACGTGCAGACAAGAAGAATCAGGGAATAAATGTAAGAATCAGGGAAAAAATGTAAGAGAAAGCGTTAAACAAAAGTAGAGCTCACGAGCAGACAGGACTGGCTGAGAAACACTGTTAATAGTGTCCCTCTGGACTGCTAAGGTCCCTAGGCAAAAAGCGACATGCTGATAGGTGAGGGATTGCTCCAGTGTGACATGCTGATGTTCCAC